AATTTTTTTAAGTGAATACTGATATTTATGGACTAATTAATTTGCCTATTTTCTTTTTTAATTGAAGGACTACTAGAATCTAATAAGCAAGTAATTGTAATTTGTACAAGTTGTATGTAATATATATCCATAAAACAACAACAACAAATTAGTAGCTACGGCAAAATTGTCCGTTGGTTTAAATCCTTATATTTATATTATATAATATACGTATGATTTGATTGAATTTAAATAATACAGTATTAAGAGCATTTTTTTTAATTTTAAAATTAGTTTTATGTTTTATATTTTATTTTATTTTTAAAAATAGAAAATTGTTTTTAAGAGTCCCAATAGCATTTATGTGTTTGATTTGGGTCGAAGTAGATTCAACTCTGAACACTGAGCACGGCTTGTTTGGTTGGAGCGGAGACAAAATTGTTACTATGTATACAAGTTTTGGGCGCAGTGATAGTCGGTTGGACAACAGGTAAAACATATTTCATCTTAAACGTAGATGAATTTAACTAAAGCAAGTCACGTGTAAATGTTCAATAGTTTCGTCTTAATTTGAGATGAATTTAACGAGATATTGACACGTGTTGAGATCCTATTGTTTTATCTCTCTTTTATACGAAATTATTAACACGTGTCAAGTTGTGGTGTGTTTCGTCTCTCTTTTAGACGAAATGATTAAATAAATAAAAAAAAATTAATTTCGTCTGATTTAAATACGAAACTACTGCTTACGTGGCAAAAATTTGCCCCAGACAGGGAATAAGTTTTTTTCTTTACTTTATTTTGATAATTATTTTTTAAAAAAAGTATTATTTTAATCATTAAGCCTCACTTTGTGTGACTGGATTAAATGTCTTATCAACCTCAAATCTTGTTATTTTCATGTCATATGGAAGAACTTAATGTGGTGAAGTTTTCTGTTGTTTTTTTTTATATATATACAATTAATTTTTTATAAAACCTATGCTCATTATTAAGGTAAGTGGTGACTTTTTCTCTACGTTTCACAAAATATTGAACCATACATCCTTATCTGCATTTAACAAGGGTAGTAATAAGATTTCTAACCCCTTTTAAAACCTTGTTATTGACCTTTGAAAGATTAATGGTCATGTGCTTATAACAACACTCTTGTTTCTTATAAGCCAAAGCTCATTTCTCATTTGATATGCTACCAATCAAGCTTTGTATTTCTAGAGCTTTGTTACAAAGATCTTTTCAGTTTATCTTCAAAGATTAGCTTGCATGATATATACTCTACAATTATAATAAAACAATATTAGCAATTATAAAAAAAAATTTAACGATATACTTTACATATGATCATAAAAAATATAATTATTCTTATTAGATATTTCTTCAAAAATGTAATTTTAAATCAGTGATTGAAATTATTTGCAATATGACAAATGCAATAAATATGATAAGCATTTGGAGGTTGTCATCCAATGTGTGCATTTGAAACAACACCTTTTATACTTTAATGGTAATCAAATATCAAACAAAGTTTTGTTTTTATAGTTACGTGCAAAAAAACCATAATCAACAATCATTCCTATGTCACTAGAGTTTCTCCTTCGACAACGATAAATGCTATTAGCTAAGAACATGATTATTTTCATCTTGTATTGTAGGAATAAGCAATGTGTGACAACACTTACCAGATAAAAATATTTCATCTACTTATATTATGGGTTTGCAAAGTTGAAAGCTTTACAACATTGTCTAAATAATCAAAACAATCATTGAAAAGCTCTAAATTTATTATCCACTTGATGACTAATGACATAATCATTAGTTTTAATTTTATAAATAGATCAAAGATCATGTAATTGCATGCACTCTAATCATTTTAACAATGTAGCATATGATTCATCCTAGCAAATACATACACTTATAATTACTTTTTGTTTCACCTTCCATGCTTTTATGTACAAAATTTTATATCTAAATTAAGTAATCATCATCTCTTGAATTTATGAAATAGGCACTAATAGTTCTTGATTTACCATACCTACAAACAATAAAAAAATATATAGAAAAGATAATTCATGAGTAAATTATTTCTTAAAAAATATGTCATTATATTTTGATGGTCTTGAAAATTTTTCATATTAACACATGTATGTGTACTACTTCACCTCGTAATTTTTCACTTGTTTAAATTGTTTAGTGATGATGCTTTGACTCTTCATAGACAACCATTACTATGGTTTAAATATTTCAACTTGGATGTATTTGTATATCAATTATAATGTGTTTTTAACATTCTTTTTAAAGTTAAATAACAACCCAACATATTTAGCATCATCTTGCACCCATGAATTAGACTCATTCAAATATTATCCTTCCATTTTTTGATCAGGATGTTTCTAAATAATATAGTTGTAGTGTAGACTAACATTCCAAAAAGGAATTTCACTAGAAAATGCATTACGAAAATATTAGTGTGCATAATTGATTATGACATGTCCTAATCAAGTAAATCATTAATAATACCTATTATGTTTTGTTATGATATATTCAAGTTAGAATCAAAATTATCTTCTAAGTCAATATTAGAAAAAAAAAATTAATGTAATTTCTCCTTCATCATAATTATGCTCATCATTTTCATCTAAAATTCATTTCTTGCAATAACTTTGTAAATCAATATTTCTATCAAACAAACTATTAATACAAACAAATTAGTAATTTGTGGCTATACTCAGTGTAACTACACAATGACCATGTCAACATCAATTTTTTTAAAAAAGTGTTAAATCTATGTCTAATATCATTGAGAGAACTAAAGAATTCTCACCAAATCTAACGTCAACATATAACTCAATCATAGTTTTACCATATTGTTATCAATGCGTACTTATTATGTAATCAATGTCTTCCCTATCATATATATATATATATATATATATATATATATATATTCAAAGTAATATATTATTTAACACTTGCATTAACAAAAAAAATGTGAAATTAATCTAAAAACAACGTCATTTTGTTAATGATTAAATTTTTTATGAATCTTTATTTTTTATGCTTCCAAATTGTCCCTCATTTAATCTAAATTACTTTTTTATATATATTCTTCAAAAGTCATACCTCCATTTCCTTAAAAAAATTCTACTATTCCAATAGACAACAACAATAATAATTCCACTCATTCTATTTTTAAAGAATTAAAAAAATATTATTAAATAAATAAAAATAAATTACAATTAATTTAACTAAAACAACAAACTCATGAAATACAATTTTGTTAAATTAATTATTCAATTGAAATTAATATAATTAACTAACATTATACAAATTTATTAAATAAATTTTAATTGTAATTAATTTAACATAATTATATAACTATAATTTATTAAATATATTAATTCATATTATCAATTTACAATTTATTTAAATAACCAACTCAAAGTAATACAAATTTACTAAACAAATAAATTAATTGAGACTAATTTAAATAACTAACATAATTCAAATTTTTTTCCAATAACTAACTGAATTTAATATAGCAATTTAATTGTAATTAAATTAACTTAGTTAATATAATTTTACTTTATCTAATATTAATCAATTTCAATTAACTAACCCAACATAACTAACTAATATCATACAAAATACTTAAAAACTTTACAATATTTTGCAAACCTGATCGAAGTCTATTTGAATCTTCTCCAAAAATTTACAAAATTACGTTGAATTAGTGTGGTTTATTTAGGAAAGTTTTTTGAATAAAAAAGTTTATCTACATACATTTATCCAATGAATAATGTTACTTATCAACTCACAGTAAATTTTACTATCAATGTAGGCAATACTATTTTCACCGTTACTAACGAAGTCTATGATGTTGACATATGCTACACGGGAATTTTTTTTAATAATAATAGCAAAATTAGTATCGTATAACAACACTATTATTATTATTATTAGTGAAATCTTTTGTATAACATGTCACCTTTAAAAAATTTCACTCTAAATTATGATGATACTTATTAAAAATAATGTAAAAAAACTAAGGATGACATGTCAAAAATTACCTCAAACAAAAAAATTATATTAAAAAATATATTTTAATAAATAATTTTAAAAATAAAAGGTCATTGTATTCAATTCACATATAAAATTATATGATAAAGATATAACTAACAGTTTCATTTTATACTAAACATTACTTAGAAATTAACATCATAAATATTTATATAATATTGAAATTTTTATACTTTTATTTTTTAATAAACTAGTAATTTTTCGTCTATTATGTAGTATGATTAATTAAAATAAATAATTAAAAATATGTGTATAATTATTTTAAAATTTATAATTTTTTAAAAATAAATATTAAAATTATTAATATTAGATAAAAATTTAATTAAAATTAAAATAAATATTTAATATAAGATAATTATGATAGGATAAGAAAGAGTAATTTTTTTTTCTATTAAATGGGCTGAAAGCCTGGAGTAATTTTTAAAATACCTTATAAATTAAACAAGTATTTTATACCCTCTTAACGTAAAATAATTATCATTCTTAATTTAATATTAACTCAGATTTATAATACCACTTATCCTTTAGAATTTGTAAAGTTTAACTGAATCGAGAATTGAAAAAAAAAATAAAAATAAAAAAATTAATGACTGAATTAATCAATTTATAGAAATATATTTCATATTATTTTATATAATAAAAATTAAATTATAAAGTATCCTTTTATTTTTTTTCAAAAGATACAACGTAGTTTTTATATATTTATATATATACGACAGTAAAAAAATATATAAATAATTAAATTTAATTAGATTATTTTTAATTTTAATAATATGTATATGTATTTTGAGATAATCAATAATATTAGTGATTTATTTAAAAAAATATAAATATCCTTAATCTCTAATATATACAAAATCACAACTGAAAACAAAATATTCTAAAACTAATTCTGTTCCAAAATAATTTTAAAATTCGTAGTTTCAAAATCTTTCCATACATATTAAAGGGAGAAGTAAAAGGGGAAGGGTTTTAGGGGGTTTTAAGCAGGATTTATTATTCTTCGCGTACAAGAGTAGAGGAGAACCCTGTATCGCAGCCACCGTGTCTGAAACTTGTACCCCATGTCCACGCCCCCGGAGCAAGTCCCGAAGGAGAAATCCGATGCAAAAGCAGAGGATATTCCTGCGGATCAAGCAGGTTCGGAGTCTCCCGGAGCAGAAGCAGAAGCAGAGGAGGCGGAGGAGGAGGAGGAGACGGAGTGCGGGTTTTGCTTATTCATGAAAGGGGGCGGATGCAGAGATGCATTCATCGATTGGGAGAAGTGCGTCGATGAAGCCGATACCAACAAAGAGGATCTTCTCGAAAAGTGCGCTCAGGTCACCGCTGCGTTAAAGCAGTGTATGGATGCCCATTCCGATTACTACGAACCCATCCTTAGGGCCGAGAAACTCGCCGAGCAACAAGCCATCATCGAATTAGAGAAGGAGAAACAGAATTCCCAACCAAACGACGAGCAACCCCCCCAACCAAACGACGAACAACCCCCTCAACCAAATGACGAACAAACCCCTCCTCAAGATCATAAGTGAGACCCCATTCCAGTGCCCTTTTATTTTTCATTAAACTAAATCTTATGTTATACTTGTACCGTCTAGTAGCGTTAGCGCAAATAGATTACACCTATTTAATGTCATTGTGACTTACAAGAGTGTGTGGGTCTGGGTCCTCTCATTTTTTTGTCGCAATAATTGGAATTACCAATATTTTCTTACTTGGTTGGATTCGCAGCTCTATGATATTTATTATTCTAGCTCTGCTTATTTCATAATTTGGGTGTGTTCTGTTATATCTGTTGCTATTTTATTGTCTAGTTATTGATTCATGCCCTATTTTATTCTATACGATTCTCTTTTCTATGATAACTGTGTTTTGATTGTTCTGGTGATTAGCTTTGAAGAAATTAATTAGATGTTCCAACTCATAGTAAATGAAGGTGCCGAATAACTCATCAAAGGAATTTTCCAAATCTATAAATATTTAGTTTGATCCACTCTAGAATAGCAAATATTCAGTTACTCACTCTTAGTGCCGGATCTGTTACAGCCATATTATCAGTATCCCATACACCCTATTCCTCTCTACTTAATCCAACATGTAGTCGTTCAATCATTTAGGCCTAATCTTGTTGCGTTGCCTAGTTTGTTGAATTGGGCTATCTCACTACTATAGTCCCCCAATTCAGTAACCTCGTCCTCAACACTGGTTTCGACTTCAACTTCATTGCTCTCTATTTCATTTTGGGCCCTAACATGTTTGCTGCTTGATATTTCTGTTATAATTTTGTAGTGATGGGAGTATGATACTGTTGATTTGCAGAATTTAAGTGCTAGAGCTAGTAGTGAATAAGAAATGAGAAATAGCTTGATTTCCAGATTCAAGCTATTTGGACATGTTGACAGTGTCAACAGAAAGAAATAAGAATCGAAATTAGTATTCCCCCTATAATGTTTTCCCCAAATTAATATAGTTTGAATTATACATGAATATGACCCAGTTTGGGTGAACTTCTAAAGAAGTCCTTATAGAAGAAAATGATTAATATAAATAATGAATAAAACTTTTTTTTAAATTAAAAATTATTTGTCTTTTCAAATTTTAGTGAAGTTAAATTAGAGAGCTTCTCAAAACTTTGCCAAAAATAGAGACCTATAAATTGTTTTTAACTTACAGGAGAAGTATTATTTGTTTTGTAAACATATTTTTTCTCATATAAAGACTTCTCTAGAAGTTTTCCCAAACAAGACCTATGTTGGTGCTTACCCATGGAAAATGTAACTTTATCCCTTTCTCTCTTTGCTTTTGATCTATAAGGATACTCATGGCTATGCTGCGATTTGAGTTGTAAAAGTGCTTAATGAATGTTTTTTCTACCCTATCCATAAGCTTTCTAACCTGCCAAGGGAAGTGTCTAGTAAATTGTGACTAAAAGCATTGAGAAATTCAAAGAGTGCTTCCTCATCAGAGCTTCGAAGGTAGGAGTTATCCACCATTTTCATATAGCTCCTAAATTTGAATTTGAACCTAACTCAACTCTAAAAACTAGCTTGTAAGGTGCGAGTTGCATTAACCTTTACAAGTTCTTATTTGGTCATGTCTGAAATCGATGTATGACTTCAATTGCTTTGGAAAAATCTATGGGACTTGATTCTTTTTTTTCGATCAAGGGTGACGTAATATTGGATCAGAGATAGGCTCGGATACAGTCTTAAATTTGGGGTCAGACCTATCTCAACCCTTAAAGCCAGTTCGTTAGGTGAGAATTGTTTTGGCTTTTATAAGTTCTTATTTAACCATATCTAAAGTTAATGTGAGACGTCAATGTAAGCCTTAGCTTAGCTGGGTGCCTCTTAATGTGATGTGCAATATGAAGTTATGCTATGAAGAGTAGATAGTGGAGACAAGATTGTAACATAGAAACGAGTAAAATGGAGTGAAGATTTATTGAGTTTCCACCATAATATTTCTTCATTATCTTTGAAAATGCCAAAGTATTTAGAAAGCTGTTATTTTCGTGAAAATGGTTAGATAATTTCATGGGAGAATTATGAAGTAACTGACCACACACACTGCCTCTTACCTATAACTTTTTAGAAGCCGAAGCTTTCTGTAGAATTCAATGTTTCCTTGAAGTTATGCCTCAACTTTGTTCAGTTTTTTCCTGCTGAAATTTAGTTCTTTATACTCGTGGAAATTGAGAAAGCCTGTAGTTGAACATGGAGTCTGAAAAGTGTGGTTAATTGCACGTGATTAAGCACTTCCAAAGCAGCTGGTCTAGTCCCATAAAATTCTTTGGCCTCTTTACTTCAACTTTTTATTGACTGTAAATCATTAGAATCATCTGATTGCTCGTGATGAGTGCTACCCTCTTCGATCTCTTTCATGACCGTGGAAACCTTTCCTGGATATGAAGCAGAAGGCAATTAACACTTTTTCAAAAACAATATGTTTAATGACATCTACAGATGTCGAAAAGTACAGAGAAATCAGAAGTTAATTATCTCCTTCCATTGCTATCTAATTGTTAAGATAAAATCTTCAATTTAAAAAAAATTAGATGTGCTAAAAGTAAAAGTAATGTTGAATTAAATTAAAACATAACTTATTGTGCGGGTATCATTACATAAAGTGCAAGTTAAGGTAGCGAAATAATAAAATTGATAAGCAAAGAAAAGTATATGTATATATATATATATTTGTATTGATCGCTGATATTAGAAAAAATGATAAAAGGTTCAAGTTCAAGAGAATTAGAAGACATTAATAAATGTTAACGGGAATTTTGAGTGTTATTATAGATAAACAAAACTATTTTAATCTCTTATATCAAAATAAAGATTAAGTGGACGAACGTTTAGTTATGCCAAATTTACGAAGTGGTTTAAGAATAATTAAATAATGAGCAGCCACAAATGAATGATTAAAGTAGATGGAGAAGAAAAAAGCAACATTCAACCAAATCTGACCAAAAATTTTATTATTAGATAATTAAGATATCAACATTACTCGCTTATCTTAATTTTTATATATTATAAATATTTTAAATTTTATAATTTCAATTTTTTTCCTTTTCATTTTTCCCGTTTGTGTCTCTTCAAAATTTTCTTCTTATATAGCCAATGTAAACTTTTAATTTTAATAGTAATTGAACTATATTTTTTTAATAAATTAGAAAAATATACATGTTTTATAATTAAGATATATATTGATAAAAATACCTTTAAAAGTTATTCTTTTACATGTTTATAAATTATATATTATTAGAGTCTTGACCTTTCAAATTTTAATCAAAACGTATTTAAACATTAAAGTAAATTATGAACCAACTCAATTGATAAAACAAAGCAACACATATATAATAACTAATAAGTTAGAAAAAAAAATACACCTCAAAAGGTGTATGCTTGAAAAAAAAAAAATAATAACGAGAGATGGAACAATTTAACATGAATGTAAAAGTTATGGTTTAAAAGCATTTATAAATTCCATGAAAAAATCATTTTAAATTATATGATAAAAATATGTACGTGCAATTGTGTATTTTATTTTTGGTTTAAGTAAAATTATGTAGAACTCTTGCCATATTTGTTCACTCTATTTGGATTTAGATTTTTTTTTATTAAAAAACTTGATGTCTAATTTTATTTTTATTTAATCGATATTAAATTTATTTAAATAAATCTTAAAAAAATAATTAAAAAATTACATAAAGTAAAATCTTCTTACATCTGTGTAAGTCTAAAAATTCTTATACACTTTTCATTTAACTTAAATCTAATAGATTATAATTTATTACTTTACTTGCTGTTAAATTTAAGTTAAATAAAAAATTTAAATTAAATATAAAATTTTTTATAGTTAAACTTTTTCCTTACACAAAATGTATTTTAACAAATTCTAAAATTATTTATGCGAAATTTGAGTAGTCACCTCAGCGAATGTCTTCTTTACCTAGAGAAACAACCTCCCAATTTAAGAATTTACACGTTACTTGACCACACTTCTTTGTTCTCTCCTTGAAGGACAACCAAGTTACCATCACTTTTTATTGTGATAACACCTCCTTTGTCGTTGATGGGTTTCTCTCTATTTGCAATCCATACGTATGCTAACAAGGAATCTTATAGATTTTCCCCGTGCGATGGAATTGGCTGCATGCAAAAACAAGGAGAGTAAAGAGAACATAAAAATTGCATCTTTGGTTCTAATGGTCATGCGCATATCCTTGAGATTGCAGAGAAGACGCTGAAAATTGGTGTTTTGGGAATAACAATGATAAAAAGTGAGTAAAAATCAAAGAAGAAGAAGAATGTTCAAAGCTAAAGCTACGTATGAGCTTGTGACGGAGAGGTAGTCCCGGGAACGGTCAAGGTCTAAGTTGTAGAGTTCGGTGTGAACGACCATGGAGACAGCTTTCGGGGCGCAAGTCTTGGTTCTAGCTTGGTTGATGTGTTTTGGGTGTTATGTCTTTTCAAGATTTTTTTAAGGATCACTGATTCACTATTAGATCGACCTATATGTCTTTTCAAAAGATATTTTCAAGAAAGTTCAAGGTTCAACTTTGAACTTTCCCATGGACTGCACAAACACTAAACCTGTTGTGAGACCCAACTCAAATATCTCAGAAATGGTGTGCAAGTTCATCAAAGTTTGTAAATTGAAATCTATTAGGGTGTTATTACTTGCACTGACCCATTTGCAATGAGGCTTCTCTCAGTCAAGACAACACTGAAGATAACAAATGTTATGTATGACCAGAAAGTCTCTATTGAATATAATGCAAAATTAGTTTAAATGATTTTAGAATTTGTTTAAGTAAATTTTATGTAATTTTTTTGGTAATTTTTTAAAATTTATTTAAATAAATTTAAAATTATTTAAATAAAAATAAGACTGAACATCTAATTTTCATTACAACAGAAAAGAATTTAAATTCATTCTATTCACATTTTATCAGCTCTTATCTTTAGTAATATTATTTTAAAATAAATTTTTAAAATATTTTATCATGTCATCGTTAGTTTTGCATTTTATAATATAAATTTTATTTTAAGAGTTTTACACACTTAATAGATGAAACAATTTTTAAAATAAAAAGTTTTATATTATAGAGGGAAAATAATTTTGTTTATATAACCTGCAAAAATCTTTTTTTTTTTAATAGCTACTTTCTTGGGCTCACAAATCCAAGTTCCGGTATCTTCCTTGACTGAGGCATTTTGCTGGGTAGAATTTCTGCTTTGGTCTATCCCGCACCATTTTTAGGCTCTTTCCCAATATGCTTTGGAGGGTCTGCTCCTCCCTTCATCGCTTTCATGTTCCTTCAACCACAGACGTGTTACAAAACCTTTTCATGTTGTTCTTTCATGTCCCTTCATCGCAAATGTCAACTGTGTCTAGTACAACCACAGTAAGCACACTTCTTGTTGGAAGCAGTTCTGGTATTGCCGGTTGAAGCAGCACCAAGAGGACTGCTGTAACATCCTCAAATTTTAGTATGTTCCCATTACGTGTTTTATTTTCTAGGGGGAATTTTTTTTCTTTTATTGCTTATAATTCTTTTGTTTTCTGCTTCTTGTAATTTCTTTATTTGATATATTGCTGTATTTTCTTGGACAAGTGTTTGAATGTATGTTGAATGTGTTTTGTGTTCTACTCTTGGAAAGAGTTGTACCTTAGATGTATTATGAATACTATCTACCCCATCCCAGCAACCTTTTAACTTTTCCTATTTAAGTGCTGCAGGCCCACATTCTCTTCTATTTAATTTTCACGCCTAGCTGAAGAATGCTAATTTAATTATACTTTTGTTTGCTATTCTCCAAATCAATGCTAGAGAGGAGAAGGGAATTCCTTTGTGAATTATGTGGGCTGTATACGAGTAATTCTCTCTCTTTTCACTTAAAAACACCCTCCCTTAATAACGAAATTAATGCACGTTAGAAGAAAAGGTTGAATCGGTAACCCCTCCTACAGCAACTCTCGCCACTAACGCCTATTAAAGGGAAGTCACTTCATTTCATTTGAACCTTTTTAAAACCATTTGCATGAGAGAGGAAAACTGAAAGCTAGATAATTCTACCTGAGCTGTATCCCATCATTACCTTACACACTTGGAGTTCTCCACCGCCCCCGGAGAGAGTCCAAAGAATTTGTAAATGTAAGTGGACGATACGTATCTGCATGTGAGTTTTCTGCATTTTACCATCCATAGAACGTCAATCGATTACATGCATGGCATTCTTCTCATCTCTTCAATTCTCTAAACGATTTAATAAGTAAAACTGAGTTTTGATTGTTGCATGATGCATAACTGGGTGTGTTCTACTACTGCATGTTATTGTCATTTTACTTGAGTCCCTCCCTCCTTTTTATTTCATAAAATTACTGTTACTGATCTCATCTCAGTAAAAGTTGAAGCATGTAGAGGATGATGAAGTTTTAATCTCATTCCCATCTTCCGTAATCCCTTTCGCTAGATTTATGACTCTGTATGTGTGCATACAAGTAATCTACTAATATTCTGTACTATGAGTCATTTGAATGATTAGTAAAGATCATAATTTAAGAACTGTTCGTGTTCATCTTGCATGGATGCTAATCTTAACCACTCACATGTAATTGGCATAAATTGTGTAGGTGTAGAAAGCTTGACATGGGACTGGTATACGTTTTTTATTCGGAATATTATGAGATATTTCATTTTTGCAAGTATAAGAGTTAATGACACATTGTGAAAACTACCTTTGAGATTAAATTTTTCCTGCGCATTTGTTTGGGCCGAAACTATCTTCTACATTCCACCCCCTTATATGCTTAATGAAGATTTGGTTAATAATCCTTCTCTTTTACACTCTTTCCCTTTCTGTCAAATTTAAGAAGAAATCTTTTGCATGCATACCGAACTAAATTCTTATTTGTAATTTCTAAACATCTTGCTGGTGAACCTTTAGGAATAATATATTTTCTGTGTTTTGCACTTAGACATATTCTCTGCTACACACTCTTTACTTTGAGCAAGAAATATAAAATTCTGGAGCAATGTAAGTATTTGATTAGAAGACGTTCACTCGAGACCAAATCGAGATGAGTTTTCAAATTGGAAAACAATTATTTTCTACGAAGTTAAGTAATTTTAAATTATAATTATAACATTCATGTGTTGTACAAGTTAGATTAAATGTGAGAAAAATATAATTTTTTTTAATCTTTATAAATACAATAAATTTATTTGTAATTTTGATATTATTTTTCTTATTTACATCTCAAAATTTTTCAAATTTTTATTGGTGATTTCTGTCGTTAACGTATTGTTAGATTCCAACTTAACTAAGCTCCACTGTGTAGGTGGACACATCATACACTGTTTTAAAGGCAAAGGTACGTAAGTAGCTGACTTGAACAAAGATATGAAAATGACATTAACTCTCAACGATGAAACTCTTAATTTGTAGTGTTTTTTTTAAGATTTTTTAACATACATAGTCCGAGTTGGTAGAGGTGAAAGGGCTTTGTTAGGCATATGTTCACTGCATCAACAACAATCTAACTACAAGTTAACGACAGGGGATGATAAAAAAAAATATTAAGTTTGAAAGGTCAACGATAAAAACAAGAAATGAATTAGAGACTAAAAATAAAGCTCGTTATATTTACGTAGACTAATAATTAATATATTTAAACTTAATTTAAATATGTACAAAATATGTTAAAATACTTTTTATTAAAGTTTAGACAACATTTTTAATATAATGTGCACTTTTTTTCATTAACATTGTCAATTTTATCAATAAAATTATTTTGAAAATAAAATATATAAATATAATTGTATTGGTACTGTTTATTAAAATACTTTGTTGTAGACTATATTTTTAATGTCAAAAGTAAAAATTCTTATTTCTGCTCAATAATTTCATTTTCAAATGAATGGGTAAGACTTACTAAAAACTGATTAAAAGGTTGATTAGTTTTCAAAATAAGTTAAACAAAACTAAAAAGTGTTTTTCATTAAAAATATTTGATGAATTATTTAATATATTAGAAGTCATTTACTTCTTAAGAATAGTGATTATACAATAGATATTTGAACATAAATAAATAGTAGATAATAAGAGGGCGTTTATTTTGAAATTGATGGAATGAATAATAGAATGATTATAATAAAAAAATTAATTTTAGTTTACTGTCAATCAAAAAAAATTTATATTTTTAATTAATAACAATAGATCAAAAATATATTTTTATATTAATTAGTATAAAAAATAATTTTTATTGATACGGTAATCAATAATAGTATAATTTTTTTATAAATATTTAAATTATATTTATAATAAAACAGTAAAAATATTTAATTATAAAAAACATGTGATGTGACTACTAATTAAAGAGAAACTATATAGGCTGAGCCAAAACATGCCACGGGCTAAAAAGATGACATGGCAAAACACGTTAATAGAATATACAGCTCGAGCTTTTGCTTTTATATATTCTAAAATGAATATTATTAAATTAAATATTTTTAATGACTAATTTAAAATATATTATATGAATATTTTATATTTAATGATTTTTAAAAAAGTAGATATTATATTATTAATAATAAATTTTTATTATATTAAATAAAATAAAAAACATTATGAAAATTTTAAAATTAAATTAAAAATAAAACATATAATGTAGAAAATCACTTGAAATGATAAAAAAATTACTTCTTAAAAATGTTCTTTTTTTTAATAATATTTCTAAACATATTCGTTTAATTTGATAATTAGTATTCAGAATTTATATACAGAGGCGGAAGATAAATTGATAGATAGACTATGAAATGGTCCTCTATATTTGTCTATAAAAATTTGGATTCAAGTAATAAAAATGGATAGTACAACATACCTTAGATTTGAGAAAAATATTTAGAGTATGTTAGGGTAAACAATTTAATTAAATACTAAGTAAAAACAAAATAATCTTATCAAGACTTGAATGCACGGTACTTACCGTGGAGATTCTTATATATTGTTTATCAAAGTTCAATACCCATAAAAATGTCATGGAGTCCTTCCAAATTACTCATCTTTGTCTTCATTTTCCTCGTAGTTGAAGGGTAGTGGCACAGACTTGAATGCACGGTACTTGCCAATATTGTTCAAATGCTCATTCTCCACCCTGATCCATACAATTGTTCGGATAAATCATAGATTTAATGCAAATGAACTTTTGAAATGAACTAGGCATAAAATAATTTGGCTAGGATGCACAAACTGAACTACCTAAATGATGTTTACCTAAAGAAGTTCCATATGCCACGGCGAATGATCTCTAAGCTGGCTATGATGCTGATCATGGCTTGCTTGTGCAAGAAGGAAAATTTGAAATTCAATACTGTCTGCAACCATGCAAATCTCAACAACACATTTAACACCTGTGCATTGTTTGATTAAATAAATTAGCAACTTGACCAAATAAAAGAGAAGCAAATACTCAATATAAACATCCTAGAAAATATTTCATGTACAATATTTTTTTCCCTTTTTGCTAATTCCATACCATGGCTGCGAAATATACACTTTTCTGAGGGATTAGGAGTTTGTCTCTGAGCCAACGGTTTTTGGAATGTTTTTGCAGAAGGCCCCAATCAATGACAAGGTCCCAATATGTGGAAAAAATGGCTGTAGATACTGAGAACATCCATGCCAACACTTTCCAACCCATTCCCTTGTCAAGACTATAAGCTGTCCTAAGGCACACAGCTGCAATAGTGAGGAAATACTTGAATGCATTATATCCTTGCATTCTATCTTTCTCCTCAAACAGGCGCCTTAGACACTGACAAGAGAAAGAACAAGATTAATTATATGGCACTCTCAGTCACTTCTTAATTGAGAGCAGCTATCCCTTTTTCCCTGTACTGTGTGCTTGGATAGCTTGCGTAAGCTCTTATTTAATAAGATCTTATCACATGAAATGTTATAAGTTTGATAGATTCAATAAGCTTCACTACAAAATTTATTAAATTAAGACAAAAAAAAACTTATAGATGGGTCATTAGCTATTTTCATAAGCATAACCGAACACTTCTGATTAATTTATAACTTAGCTGCTTATATGATAAGCTATGTAGAAATTTTTCCAAATGCTATCCTATTCTCTTCATACTTGTTTTTATAACTAATCAGCTCAAATCTATGCGTGAAGAAAAATGGAATGAAGTTGTGTACCTGAAGAAAACGAGACCAGTATGGAATCACAACAACAATGAATGAAAAAGTTAAGAATATGCTATTTGACTGGCATGTGGTTTGTCTTTGTTTGAAGTCACCCCAACCATAGTAGCATATGTAGAACTCAAAACTCCTTAAGGCTTGCCCCTGAATGAGTAAAACGGATCATTGTGTTTGAATGATCACTGAAGGGACCATGAGCATAAAAGCTATAATAAGGGATATAGAAAACAAAATATAATCTCATTTTTGCTTTCCACAAACCTGGCTAGTAAATTGATCTGCCAAGAAAAAATCTGGCAGTGTGACCTGATAACATTGAAAATAACCGGGATTAGATTTCTAAACAATATCGTATGTAGCCCAAATAAGGTTCTCTGCTAACACGTTAGATACAAATTTTCTTTACCTTGTATAGAGGAGCACAGAGGCAGTGAAACAGACATGTAAGGAAAAACATTCGGCTTGATCGACATATGATGTTTAATGGGCATAATAAAATAGCAATCACAACCTGAAAAGTGAAAATAAATTTACCATGTAATTTTAGAAATAAAACTAGGATGAAAAAACCTGCTAAAATTGAACTTAATGGCCCTTACAAGAACCAGAATCAGTGGCATAAGTTCAGTGAATGCTACATAATCTTTTGTCTCTGGATCGATTTGCATGTCTAAGTTTGCAAGCACGCTGGCTAGTGCCAATGCTGCAAGGACAAAACTAAGAAGAAGGACTTGATGGTAGCCTAACTCAGTGCCTTGCTTTAAACCAAATATGAATGAGTGATTCACTCTATATCGCCTCCAGAAGTATATATTAGCAGCATACATCAGCATGTGTAGAACTACAAATCCAAATAAACTGCATAGATAGTTTAAAATAGAAAATTAGTTATAGTCCTAGCTTTTATTAATGTGGTAAGATGTTTAGGAGTTAGAAGACAGACAAAACCATATATTTCAAAATCTTCATATAGGGGTACCTGTAAAGAGGAAACATGATTTCCATGTATTTGGTACTTCCTGAATGATCCATGATTTTTCGAGTACGAACAATCAGAATAAGAGCTAATGTTAGAGCTGCAGTGCATCCAGCAAAGAAGCCTGAAAAGTTTATATACATGGAAAGTCAGGGAAAGGGTAGACAAAGATAACATTTTTCACAAAAGTTATATTTTACCCATGGAAAATGTAATCCTATGCCTTTCTCTCTTTCTTTTTGGTCTCAAGATGCTCATTCCTTTATTTCTATTTGAGTTGGAAAAGTGCTTAATGAATACTTTTTCCACCCTCTCCATAAGCCTAGTGACCTGCAGGGAAGTTGATTCACAAGGAAAATTTGAACAATTGAAAAGCTTTTCATGTGCCTTCAGAATTATGATGCTAAGGCTTAAGTCTATACTGATGAATTCTCACCTCATCAGAGCTCCCAAGGTAGGACTTATCAACCATTTTCATGTAAGCTTTTGCCGCACCCCTTGATGTAATCTGAAGTATAAAGCTAAACGAGATGAATAGGCAATTTTGTTTCATTTGCCTTAGAGAGAGACTTCGAGTTTTTTATGGTTCAAAAGTACCTTATCATATTTCTTCATTATCTTTGAAAAAGCCAATATATTTAGAAAGCTGTTTCATGAGGTACAAATCTATAAGAAACATGAAGGCAATACTCCTATTGATTTTAAAAAGATTATGATAGTGTCTACTACGTGTAGTTCTTGAGAAGTCGAAGCTTGTGATAGAACTCAACAAAAGCCCGTTTGAGTTTTTCTTCTACTTTGCTTAAATTTTCCTTAGTGAATTTCAGCTTTGTTTGGCCAGGGTATTTGATGAAGCCTTTTATAGTTGAACGAGGAGTCTCACAAGCGTTATTTAATTGCACTCGCTTAAGCACTTCCAAAGGAGCTGGTTTGTTGGCTTTGATATTCTTCTTTGTGTTCTGTACTTCATCTCTTTGGTTGGGAGTTTGAATCTCTTCGCCTATGTCATTGCCCGATTCATATAATTCTCCATGGTGGGTACTGCCATTCTCTTTGATCTCTTCCATGGAAACTCTTCCTCCTGTTAATGAGCCAGAAAAAAGATACGAAACAAGTAAACTGAACTTTTCTACTATTCAGTTTAAACATTAGAAATGACTTTACTAGGGATATATTCAATTGAAATTGTTTTTTTTTCTGGTTAATTTGTAAATTATCCATCATAGATCTCTACAAAAGCATGTGATAAGAACTACTTATTCTGAAAGTCTAAACAATTGAGACAAGACCATCTAGCATTATTTTGAAGGCAACCCCCACATAAAAGTCATCACATGGCCATATAAAACCCAATAATAATATAACATTAAAAAAAGATAAAACCTACATGTTTGGATCCTGTATGGAAATGTCACAAAATTACATTTACTTTATTGTAACAAGATTCTATAGAAAACTTTGATATTTGATTACTTGTATCCAAATTGATTTTTTTCAAAACTTACATTTAGGCTAACTTAAGAAACTATAAATTTTAAGTTAAAAATTTATGCTAAATTTTTATCATTAAACTTACTTTTTAAAAGAAAAGTTTCTAAACAGAAATCAAATCGCTTTAAACTCTTTTTTAAGTAAAATTAATTCTATATGATCAAGTTTATTTAAATTCATTAATTCTATATAATCAAGTTTATTTAAATTCAAATTTGCAATTGGTCACTTGTATAAGATGCATGAATGAAATATATTTGTCACTGACTTTGCCAATTCAGTGTTTGAGTGTGAAATAAAATTCTTCAAACCAACAAAGGCTAGATCAAGATGGAAACTTACGGTTGAACTTGACCTCTCTGGGTGGAGAAGCAGACAATGTGGTCACTGAAGCAGAAACATCACCCAGATGAGTCATCTCAACTGAGCTATCAAATGACTCAGTAGTTGGGTTCTCAACTTTTACCCTGAAAGCTATTAAAGCATCCATTTGTTTGTTTAACTCAACTGCTTCCTTCATCACTTCTTCCACTTTAGATCTATAGAACTTGTCCACTTTGTTGAACTGATCATCTAGCCTCCTAAAGTACACTAACTCATATTCTCCACCTTCTTCTGCAGCCATGAGAAAGGTAGTTTCATATTTTTCATGACCATCTCGCAGCACTGAGTGCACCAAAATGGGTTGGTTCTCAATGTCCTGTTCTGAAGGGGTCAAGGGTTGGTAGTGTCTCTGAGTGAGACCACTGAAAGCTCTATAAAGTGATAACTTTCTCTTTAGAATTGTTGGGGTGGCACTTGGATGTGGCTTCTTGCTTTGCTGGTTGTGCAGGATTTCTTTCAAAAGGGATTTTAGATAACCATAATCCATGTATGCTTCTTGCCATTCTGGCACCATTTGGGATGCAAATTCTTTGCCAAACTTCATTTTTGGCTTTTTGAGTTTTGAGCAATCAATGTTCTAACGGGTTTGGTATTAGGTAATAATGTGACCAGCTCAGGAAATAGTAAGGGTGGTAAAGAACCAATGGATAAAACTGGTTGCCAAAAGATAGAGAAAAAGAAAATGCTTCGGCTTCAGCTCATATTTGCAATAATGCAATCTGGAGAAAACATTATGTAGAGAGGTGGAGTCCAAAATTGTCCTTTTATTCTTTTCAGAGCTAATGGCAGAAAAAGGTGACTCTTTCTGTGCGGGAAAAAACTGGTTAATGATGCATGGTGAGTCGGTGACAAATACAAATCAGTTACTTCATAAAGTGGGACAGTGACGCTTGAATGGGCTATAAACCAAGGTACCATGGGCTTCATAAAATAAAACTATGATTAGAACTAATAGACTGAACAGATGACATTTATAAATGTAAAGCCTAACTATTACCAAATATGTTGTCGGAGTGTTGGAGTGACTATTGTCATGAGTATGCCACTTAACTTTCTGGTAATGTACGTACCCCTTTTTGGACATGTAAATTTCATTGTAACAGGGGTTTGCTTTTTTGCACCTAGATTTTTTCTATTTGCACTTCGAAATAATATTTCTTTTAATTTGTGTTTTTAAAAATATTCTTATTAAAAAATTAAATTATCTCTCCTCACTTTGATTCTTCATTTTCCCAAATTGTTAGCTTCTCCACCTCTCTCATCCATTTCTTATTTTCACTTTCCGATTGTTCCTTCACCAACATTTTTGTTTGATTGAACTTAGTTATTTAACAATTTTATATAGTTTATTTTATTTTTTGTTGGAAAAAATAACTTTAAATAAGTGAAAAGTGCCGTTGTTAGCCTCGAAAATTATTTTCTAAAAACATTTTAATAGCTTTTCAAAAATTATATTTTAAAATTATAAAGGTACGATATTTTTGGAATTTAAATTCTAGGAGCTTTTAAGTCAAACTTCTGGAATTTAAATTCCAAAAATCTATTATACATGCTTTTGAAAATTAATTTTAAAATTTAATTTATTTTAAACAATGATATGAAAATTATTGAGGAGATTGTGTTTGAGATTTAAGTAAAAAATATTTTGTTTTATTTGTTATAAAATATTATATGAGAAAAATATAAAATAATTTTTAAATATTATGTTATTCTTTTTTTCTTCGCTTAAGAAATTGCGACATTCTCTTATTTAATATTGTTCATTTATTTTATAAGTTAAAATTTATAATTAAATTTACTCATACTTTTAAAAGTAATTATGATAAATTACTTCTTTTATAAACAAAACTTAGATGTACTTATTTAATTAAAAATTTACTTTATAATCAAAATAATATAAGGTAGCATTAGAGTATCAAAAGTATCTAAAGTACTACATATAACTTTTCTCCTCAAACACTCTCTTAAATGATCTTTTAAATATATAAAAAATATAACAACAAAATAATTTTGACCAAACTCTCAAACATCCCATGGTAAAGTAACTATTGTATTCTGCCATGAATTATTTAACTTCTTTCAACTTATTTTAATGATAATTTTTATTTTTAGTTTAGTTTATATGTATAACACAATTTTTTATTTTTGTAATTTTTTTATAAGGACTAAAGTAAAATTATATTATGTATAAGAATCAAAATAAAAAAAATTAAATAAAAATTAACGTCGTTATACAAATATTAACATGAACTATTTTAAATTTTTTTCGTTCAGAGACATGTTTACAAACTTTTTTTTTATAAGAACCAAATAAAAAAAAATGAGTTCTGTACCAAGGCTAAAATTGTATTTAAACTTAAATATATTTTAGAAAGCCATCAATTAATAGATACAAAATATATATATATATATATATATATATATATATATATTATTGATTGAGCTCTTATATAATTACAAAATATACTTGAGGGATACAACATCTACATAAAAGTTATTTAATTATAACCTATAAAAAAAGTTATTTAATTATAAGACAATTAGTTTATTTTGTCAAACATCCATAATTTTTTTTTATACCTAATGACATAGAATAGAATTAAAAAACATTCTATAGTATTGACTATATTAAAGATGATACTAGTCTCACTTATTAAAGCGATAATTGATAAGTGATTCAATCATAGTCATTAAATATAAGTATTATCTCTTATAGATGTAAAATACATTGAAGAGCAAAAAAAAAATACATTGAAGAGGTGATGTGTGTCAACTATACAATAAAATCACATATACATATACATACTGTTTTTTTTATGGCATGGTCAAAAATTCTAAAACAAATTTTTTTAAAAAATATATATATTAAATTAACTATTTATTTTTTTAAAAAAATATTATTTTGGTAAAAAAGCTCAAACTTGTTCAGCTTTAAATTCTTCACAAATTTGAAAGAATGATCATTTTTGAGTAAAATCAAGAAACCATCCTACCCATTTCAAATGTCAATTTTTGTGATGGGGAAGATCTTTTTATACTAATATAAGTTTAAAAATTCTTACATTCAATTTAAACTTTTTATTTAACTTTAATTTAATAGTTAATAAAGTAATAAATTATAACTCATTAGATGTAAATTAAATGAAAAGTTTAAATCAAGTGTAAGAGTTTCTAGACTTACACACATGCGTGTAAATATCTTACCCATTTTATGATTAATTTTCACCAATTTCATTAATTTTTAGCCAATTATTTTTTGACTCGATTTTATGATTATTCTTCTAATTTATTTGAACACAAGACAATTATATCATGATCATTTATATTACACATACAACATCTAGTACTTATTAGTACAGTCTAATAAAATTAGTCATTTTCAGATGAAAATTTCCATCCCTCAAAGTTACAAGTGAAAAAAGAGGTGAGCAATATTCCAAAAATTCGATCCCCTCAATCGAACTAGAGGGGAGAATAAAAATTGTTAAATTAACACCCCTTTTTACTTAGCTTGTGATTGATAAGGTATTTTTTTCTAGATTAGTAACAAAATTAATTCTTATTTTTTTAAAATCCAAAAATATGTTTGTTTTAATAGAAATATATAAATCAAATTGATTTATACATATCTCCCAATTGATGAAAAAAATTAATACTCAATATGATAGATGATAATTAAATACTTTAATATAATTAAGTGTTAGAAATAATTGAGTTTATAATTAAATACTTCCTTATCAGTGAAAGAAAACAAAAATAAATTAAAAAATAAAGAAAACTTTTTTTTATTATTCTTTCAATGTAGCAACATTTATTTTAAAGTAAGCCCAATAATAATAATTATAAAATCATATTTATTAATAATAAAGTTATTACAAATAAATTCAATAATAATTTAATAAATTTAATAATATAATTTAACATTTTAGCATTTGATTAATTTAGAATTAAATTAATGTTATAATAAAAATTAATTTATGCAAGTTCACGTACACATAATATATCAAATATTTGTCACATTTAATAATTTAAAATTAATTTTTTTTATCAAAATCAATTTTAATTCAAACAAGCAAAACTGATATTCTTAATGTATAAATTACTCTCCAATAAATATTGACAACAAAATAATTTTATGAAATGTTAAAATATGTTTTTTCTTCCTTTGAATCAAATCACCTTTTATAAATGAGTAAAACACAATAAAGTAAAATAATCTTTTTATAATTAATTTATAAAAACAAAATAAATTTAAGTTTATTTTCTCAAACTAAATAAAGCTTTTACGTGAATATAGAAACAGGAGTTGTTTTAGTTTAATCCATAATATCAAGTTTAAATTTTAATAAATATATTTATATTACATACATAAAAGATACCACAGTCTATAAAAAAAAGAAAATCAATCATATTTTTTCCTTATATTCTCTTTAAAGTAAAAATAATTTCCAATAAATAAACAGTCAAACTATACCATTTTAGCAGTTTTGTCATCGTGAACCTTTACACTAATTTTAAACATTAATAATAATAATTTTTTATTGAAAAAATATTACATATTTTTAAAATCAAGAATCTATTACTTTTAATAAATATATTACTTTTAATTATTTAATATTTATTTTAAAGGCTAATGTGAATATATATATATATATATTTTTTTTATTTTTTTTTAAAAAAAAAAGCTCCAATTGAATTTCATGCGTGTCTTTGGTTATAAAAACAGCCCAAGTCATAGCAGGATTTACCTAAATAAAATTGTTCCATATGCATTTACCAAAAAAAAAAAAAAAGAGAGAGAGAAGAAAAGAAAGTGTTGAATCATGATTGTGAAAAGTGGGCTCGAAGAAGCAGCAAGAAGAGAAGAATCTTATCCACAACCACAACAAACGAGAAGATCAAAGGCTCCTCTCTGTGACACAACAACACAACACAACACAACACACAATGGCTACTGTCTTTTCCATATGTTCAGGTTCTGCTTTTCTTTCTCACAGCAGGAGCTTCCCCTTTGCATCCAAGGGTTCACTCCTTCACCCCAAAAGGCCACTCTCAGCGAAGTGTGAAGCTTCTTTGGGAACTGAGATATCAGTGCCTCCAGCAGTTGACACCTTCTGGCAGTGGCTTAAAGAAGAAGGTGTTGTTTCTGCAAAGACCCCAGTGAAGGCTGGTGTGGTCCACGAAGGCATAGGACTTGTTGCCCTCAAAGACATTTCTAGGAATGATGTTGTGTTGCAGGTTCCCAAGAGGCTTTGGATTAACCCTGATGCTGTCGCTGCTTCAGAGATTGGGAATGTGTGCAGTGGCTTGAAGCCTTGGTTGGCTGTTGCACTTTTCTTGATCAGAGAGAGGTCAAGGGATGATTCTCTTTGGAAGCACTACTTCACTATTCTGCCAAAGGAAACTGATTCTACTATTTATTGGTCGGTCGCTTTTGGTTTACTTGTCAAAACGGGGATTCAGTTTTCCTACAGTTTAATTTTGATACATTGTCAAGACTGATTAGAAGTCACTTTAAATATGATTTTAAAGTAATTTTTTCTAAGTGACAACTTTCAATTATGTGGGAATTCATCATTGAATAAGTTTTACGCTGTCAGAGTATTCCAATTAAATTCGTTTTCATATGGTTGATTCAGTGTAATTGATTATTCCAGTGCAGGTCAGAGGAGGAGCTGTCAGAGCTACAAGGTTAGTTATGTCAATGTTTCAATGCAAATAATGTAAATAAGCCTTATCCACTGGGTGAAGTAGGCTAAAATAACGTAAATAAAGAATAAAAAAAAGTGTGCTTTGGAGTAGTTGTTGAGTTTGTATACTGTATTTTCTGGAAATGGTTTTGTGGTGTGGTTTTCTCTACAGCCTGAACCTGATAGAACTGATTTGTGTAGGGACTCAACTTCTGAGCACAACACTGAGTGTGAAAGAGTATGTGCAGAGTGAATTTAGGAGACTGGAAGAAGATATCATACTCCCTAATAAGCAGCTTTTCCCTTTTCCTATTACACTTGATGACTTCTTCTGGGCATTTGGAATTCTAAGATCAAGGGCATTTTCTCGCCTTCGCAATGAAAATCTGGTTGTGATTCCATTCGCAGACTTGGTAAGGTCTTTTTCATTTTCTCTCTTTCTGTAGTCTGAAGCAGTGAGACTAGACTACAGCAATACATGCAGAACAAAGAGAATAGAGAGACAAAAATGAACATACATAACTCTGTCTATGATATTCCTAGAGTAGTAAAAAGTATTCATTACTCTAGGGGAATGTACTCATTTCATCAAAGTTATTACACATGGCATGTATGGTTTTTTTTTTTTTTTTTTTTCTTATTTTAACTTTTATTGAGATAAAAATAAGAAAAATAAAACTATCAATTTAAATTGGCTTTCAAAGGAGTAGATAGTACAAGAATGCTAAAAATTTATTCCTAAAGTAGACATTTTACTTGTTTTCATTTGCTGATATTGTTTTCTCTAAATTCAATTTCTGGATCAGATAAACCATAGTGCCAGAGTAACTACAGAAGATCATGCTTATGAAATTAAAGGAGCAGCTGGTCTCTTCTCCTGGGATTACCTATTTTCCCTAAGGAGCCCCCTTTCTGTTAAGGCTGGGGACCAGGTGAAGTGTTGTTGCCTCCTCCTACCTTTATTTTTATTTTATGTTCATTTACACGCAACATCCCTTTAAAATAATGAATACGTCTATGTTGAACAGTGTTGTGTCTAAGAAGCTTTTATATGAACTAGCAAGCGCTTATGTATCAAAGGGAAAAAAAGCATCTGTGAACCAAGTGCATAAGTGCTAGAAACTTGCAGTAGAATTTCACAATCCATGTTGTATTCTGTGGCACGAACTATCTCTATCATGGTGACAATTTCATGCTTCTCCATCCATGGTCACATAAAAAACTGAGCAGTTGGTAACATAAATTACAATTCACATATTGATGGAAGGAAATTTGTTCTGCAGGTATACATTCAATATGATTTAAAGAAAAGCAATGCTGAGTTGGCTCTGGACTACGGTTTCGCTGAACCAAATGCAGATCGGAATGCATATACCCTGACACTGCAGATATCAGAATCCGACCCCTTTTTTGATGACAAACTAGACATTGCTGAGTCCAATGGTTTTGGTGAGACAGCATACTTTGACATCTTCTACAGCCGCCCACTTCCGCCTGGGTTGCTTCCATATCTGAGACTAGTAGCTCTCGGGGGTACTGACGCTTTCCTATTGGAGTCACTATTTAGAAACTCCATCTGGGGTCATCTTGAATTGCCTGTGAGTCGTGACAACGAGGAGTTAATATGCCGAGTGGTTCGAGAAGCCTGCAAATCTGCCCTTGCTGGTTATCATACTACTATTGAAGAGGTATGACTTTCTATATCAATTTAGGTGACTAAAATCATGCACATTAAAGGATTTTACTCTTGTTTATAGGTATAAGGTATGGATAACCAAGATTAGATTTAGTTAATATAACTGATACATTTAGAAGTAACTACATGACATCTTATAATGGTTCATGCACTTTAAATTGTCAAAATTGTGAAGCTGATTGAGCTCAACAAATGACTGAACAAAGCAAGTGAATGGCAGGATCAAAAGCTGAAAGAAGCAAGTCTAGATTCAAGACTTGCTATAGCAGTTGAAGTTAGACAAGGGGAGAAGAAGGTCCTACAGCAAATCGATGAGATATTCAAAGAGAAAGAAAAGGAATTGGACCAGTTAGAATATTATCAAGAAAGGAGGCTCAAGGACCTTGGACTTTGCGGGGAAAATGGTGATATCCTTGGGGACCTTGGAAAATTCTTTTAGGAAGCAGTTGCACCTGTTAAGGAGACATTTTTTGTCTGCATTTCATAGAACTAGAAAACAGAAACACTCGGTGAATCACCAATAGAATCTTCCAACACGTATCCGTGACAGTCACTCGATCTTTGCAGAGAATCACAATCACGTTTTGACAGCCCCAGCCACGTTTATTAAAACCCCGTTACACGATTGCTGCTTGTAAAGAGGAAGATATAATGCATTAAGTACACTTCCATACCCTTTATATCGTGATAATGAAATTAGAATGGCTAATCTGAATTGAAGACTGCCACATGAACTACTATTATATATCTATACTGAACTCACATTTAGAAAAAATAAATTAATTAATGAAGGGTAAATTTGAAGATACAGCTATGCAAGCTTCACTAGAAGCTGACATTTCCTTCTTTTTTTTCCTTTTTTCTTTTCTCTTTTACTTTCCTTTCCATGGTTTTCTACAAATTCATGTGTACATATTTATCAAGGTCATGTGTACAGCACTTGAGCAAGTGTGGGAGTGGGAAGGTGCAACTGATAAATTTCTCTTTCAAACTCAGTTGGGCAGAAGAGAGCATTTCGACATTTGACAGCTTGTGCTCATCGTATTTGACTAGAGTTAAGAGGACTTAGCAAGTCATCACACTTGGTTTCCTCACAGAGGCATTCATGAGGATTGGCATAGAAATAATCCTCCTCCTTCGGCTTGTCTACAATAACTCTACGATAAGCTGGCTGGCCCATTCTCTTTTCATGAACCTCTTGCACAGCATTTGCAAACTCATTCCATGGAAGGGTACCATTTTGATGCATATCAAGAAATTCTACAAGCTTTTTTCGATCCAATAAGATGGATTTTTTAAAACCAGAATACCTGCATGAGGACAAAGTTATTTTTTTGTAGATTTTCATCAAGGTTGCATTTAGCCACCATATAAAATCAAATTGCAACTAGCAAGGGCACATGCATACCTTCGATGGCCTTCCACAAGTTTTGCCATGTTCCCATAATAGGTAGGAATAAAGGTGTTACTGGCTACTGAAACCATAAAATCCAAAGCTGCCATCTGTGACGAATGATTCTGAAACTGCTGCAACTCATCATGGGCCAGCAATGTCTCCTTTTTAACCTACAATAAAAGTACCCAAGTCAGAAAAATAAAAAAGTAAGGAATACGAAATTTCTTTCAGAATTATCTAGTTTAATGTGTCATTGTAGTGTGTCAAACAATCTTTAAATGGAAAATTTGCATAATACCAAGTAATCTATGATAGTCTACTCATAATCATTCACAACTATTTCATTATATCAAATACGATTCAAAATGTAAACAAGAAAGGGGAGGGGTTATATATGGTGAACTCACAATTCTTGGAAAGGCAGCTCTAAGCTGTGCTAGTCTTCGTTCACCACCATAAATCTCACCAGCTGCAATATAAATCTGTGTTTCCTTATCAATACCTAAGGCTTGCATAACTAGGGCTGCCTCCTCTGGTGTCAAAGGACAGAAACCCTGTGATCTCCTCTCTTCAGAGACTATCTCCTTTTCTCTCCAGGAAGGGAATGCATACCTGAATTACACAAGATCGATCAAAATTTTAGGTGCCATAGATCTCTCATTTGCCAACTCATTACAAAAGAATTTGATCATCGAAATCTTTCTTTTTATGCAGGTAACTAATGTATTTTTGTCAAAATATGTCAAATCCAACACATGTAACTCATGAACTACAGATCCACGGCTCTTCAACAACAAGACTGTGGCTCCACCATTAGAAGCAACTAGCATCTAGGAGCCTCTCACTAAATAAAAGATGCTTGTTTCCTGTTTTTTGGGATATATGACAGAACAGGAGGCATAATTAATGATTTAAACTCAATGGTAATTCAGCTATGATAGGGAAAACAACAATCATAGTGTCCTGTATTCTCCCCTGCAATTGTTAGATAAGAAGTACCTGTCTTGTAAAATTTTACCCATAAATATATGTAAAGCAAAATATGAAACATAAAAGACCACCTCATCCGCTTGAGCTCCTCAGCTTCTTCATCAGTACAACCAAGAGTACAACCTGAGAAAGCCAACATGTCCATCTCATATCTCAGATGCAATGCCACAAAAGATCCCTTCTGACGAAGTATCTGAATCAATTTTTGGCCCAAATTCTCAATTTGAGGAGTGAACTTAAGAGCTTGGTAATTAACACGACACCTAAGTTTCTGTAGTTCAAGCGGGAGACCATTGTTTGCTAGACGTGAATCAGTTTTGTTGAAGTGTACCACCTCATGCTTGCCAAAAAGTGGCAGAATCTGCAGTGAGGAGTCAATAGTAATGAATCAAGCTCAAGACGTACTACTGAAAATAAGGGAGGGAGTGAGTATAAGAAAAAGTATAATTTTCTAATTTCCACGGACTTGATTACTAGGTGCCATTTTGAAGTGGGCGGAAGCATCTCATATTAAGTGCTAAAATAGTCATTCATATCTATAAATCGTACTCTATATATATATATATATATAACTGATACTTATTCAATTAATAAGTTGAAATTCTCCTGTCATATTATAATATATTTTTTATCTTGGTAAAATAACTAATACAACCCTCAAAATCAGTCTTCAGTATCCTGTATTTTGCTCTTCATCTGCCACCTCGTATTTGATATGGACAAGACTATAATCATGCATTTGGTAATTTGCAGATTACTGATTTCCAGCTGATAATTGCCACCCCAGATGATGAAGAAATCAATAACTTTTGGTGGGGGGTGGGGGAGGTGTGCAGAAAATGAGATCTCTTAAATTTGAGTTTGCGTTTAACTCAACTCCAAAAACTAACTCTTAAGTGAAAATTGTTTTAATCTTTACAAGTTCTATTTGGCCATATCTGTAGTTGATGTGGAATCTCAATGCTCTACTCACACTCAAGATTGAACATATAAAGCGTAAAAATTGTAAAACTGAATTTTTTTTAATTTCACTAAAAAAGCTGCAAGACTAGGTTAATAGCATTGGAAAATCATGGCCAAGTTAATTGCACTGTGAAAATTCAAGGGGTCAAGTTGATTTTTTTACAGTCAAAAGTTTCCTATTTTTAGATCTACAATGGGGGCTCCGATAACATCTTAAATTTAGGTTTTAGACTTAACTCCAAATGCTAACTTACAAGGTGAGAATTCCTTTAACCTTTGTAAGTTTTACTTTGGCTATATTTGTAGTTGATGTGGGGTCTTAATAAGATCAAATAAGTAAAAAAAAAATCATTGACATTCATAAAAGATGAAACAATTTTAAAAGAAAAGTTCTCATATGGAAGAAAATCTTTACAAACATGTCCCCATTCACCCTCCCACTATGGACAGGAGCAAAAAAGTAATGAGGCAACTTATTAGTGCGACAAATGTTAGTAATTTGGCAGAACTCCCATTTTATATAAAAGTTATCACTGTTTTATAATCTAGGCACATCAAATAACAAGATTAAGACTACAAGTCTACAACATAACTACAAAGCAGTAATCAAAGTATGGTTCAAGAACAAATATCCATAATAATAGATTGATGATGATAAGACTCCAACTTAATTCCACATGAATACAATTTCTAGCATTTACACCTTCATCATCATGACATCATATAAATAAGTACAAGTCCAAATAACTACATGCCTACAATTGTCGAAATTAATTGTTCTCACACACAGTCTAAAAATTCCACATACACAAAGCTAACTTAGGGAAATTTTAGGATACCAGAAAATAGCACTGTGTATTACAGTAAAACTAGACCGTGAAGTTAAAAATTTGATGGGGAGGTCTATCTAAAAGGAAACTACTCCCACAAAAGCAACTGAAGTACAAAACATGGCGTTCCCTTAAAACTGAAAAGTTAAAGAAGCATACAGTCCAAAGACAAAAATAAAATCAACGTCTTATAAACTAAGGCAAAGAACCATTAATCAATCATTGTATCAAACTTTAATATGTTTGGAAGTTGGGTTTTGGAAGGGAAGGGGAGGAGAGGACAAATATTTTATATTTAAATTTAAAGAGATATATAATGTTCATAAAAGTAAATAAAAGATTAACACATTAAGTTTATACTAATCTATCATTTATGACTTTTATTTCAAATAATTATGAAATTAAAGAATGTTGATTAGAAATAAAAAAAAATTCTTTCCCTCTAAAATCTAACTTCCAAGCACACCCTAAGTCGTAAAATAAAAGAAAGCCCAACTAAATATAGAGGACATAGTTTTAGTTACAATTAATACAATCTGCTGACCTGCTCCAAGTAATATTTTTCATTAGACCAGCTAACAGGAGGCATCTCGAGGGTGAAGTATCCACTTTTCCTACTAACCCTTTTGGGTACTCTCTTCAGTATTTGAACTTCATCTCGTAAAGAATAAATGAAATGTCTCACGTCAAAAATGTCCTCGAAATTACTGCAAAAAGAAAACTACCAAACTTTAAATTGAAAAGAAGACCAAAACAGAGAATACTATTGAGTTTCTTTTAAAATTAAAGGATATACCTAGGGTCTGCCCAAAAGGATTTCTTATCAAGCTCCGGAACAACCAACGTTAGATTCAAAAATCGAGCAACTGTCACCATATCACAAATCTGAAATGCCAAATCTGCTCAATTTTAACATTTAAGCATATCATAGAATATGTATGAACACAGACATGGCAGAATAGGAAGTACAAACCGCTGCCCGCATTTGATTCAATCCCCCATTGCAGGAGACTCTTAGAAAACCATTCCTTGTATAATTTCCTGCAAGATTTCAGGTCATAAGGCTTTAATATTTACTGAACGTGTAAGAAAAGAATAGTACAAACAACTAACACCCTATCCACCAAACCATCTATTTATAACTATTGATTTATATTATTTATGCCCATTCACAAGTGGTAGAGATTAAAAGGATTGAAGATAGGATCATGTCCTTGAAGTTATTAGTTGCACAAGATATTCGTAATATCATTAGTGTGCATGGTCCACAAGTTAAGTTATTAGTTGCACAAGACATTCGTAATATCATTAGTGTGCATGGTCCACAAGTTGGCTTGGAAACTCTTTTGAAAGCAAGGTTTTGGGGGGGATTTAGAGGGGTTAATCCAAGACATTCCACAAACTGAAAAGATTTTCATAGGTAGACTTAAATGGTCATGTTGGTTGTGAGGCAAGACAATTTACAAGGACTTATGGTGGTTTTTGGTTTTGGAGAGTTAAATGAGGAAGGACAATCTATTCTTGATTTTTCAATGGCCTTTGACTTTAAGATTATGAATACTTGTTATAAGAAGAGGGACGAACATCTTATCACCTTCAAGAGTGGGGTCTAAAGGTCACAAATAGATTTATTTTTGGTAAGGAATCTAGACAAAAGGATTTGCAAAGATTGTAAAGTGATTTCAAGAGAAAACCTTACTACACAACATAAGGTCTTAGTTCTTAATGTTTGTTTCAAGACTAGTAAACAAAGAATTCAACAAGTTATTATTCCAAGAATTAAGTAGTGGCTATTTAAAGATGAGAAACAATTGAACTTCTAGAAGCAATTAGTAGAAGAGCGGTACCTGGGATGCACAAGGTAGTGCTAACATCATTTGGAACAAACTAGCTATAAAGGCCGGAAAAGTTGTGAAGAAAATTATAGGTGAATTTAGAAGTCTTGGACTAAAAGAAGACGAACAATCATGGTGGTAGAATGAAAGTGTGCAAAAGAAGATTAGAGATAAGAGGATGTGTTTTAAAACTTTGCATACATACAATAATGCTGAAAAGAAAAGATAGAAAGAATGATTGTGTATAGGAGAATGTTGGAGTAGAATATATTCATAAGATGGTGGAAAGTGGAAAGTGGAAACTGACCTATGGTGGTTTGGATATGTGATAAGACCAGTAGAGGATTCAATGAGAAAGGTGGATCAAGTGGAAAATAATTAAATTAATAGGGGTGGACTGTGCAAGAAGAGTTTCAAGGTCAGTAAAAAGATTTTAAATGCCTTTTTTGAAATTTTGGATTTTGGTAGAACCCAATGGCATCAATTGATCTATGCAGCTGACCCCACCATGTAGAATATGACTTGATTTGATTTTTAAGGCCACAAAACAGTGTAATATTGACATTCATAAAACATAATTCACTATGATATCCATATTTGAAGTTGAATGCATATTTTCATTCTTCCTTGAGTCCTGTCATGATCGCACACTCGACGTAAATCTACTTCAACACAAACACCAATCCAAAAAATAAATAATTCTTTACTAGATAATCCTGCACCAACACTCAGCTAAGTATGAACATTACCATCTAATACCACATACAACACATGGTCAACAATATGGATTCCATTGCTCAATTAAATTATACACAAGGTTGCATCAAAGGACCGAAGCTACACTTTTCCAAGCCTACATCCATAACTACTATACCACTCAATCAAACAAAAAATATGCTGATATAGATAAGCATGAAGCGATGAGAAACTAACTTGCAGGAAGAAAAGGAGGAGGAGGTTGAGAAAGTGCATTTTGTGGTCGGAGAGGACGTTGTGTAGTGTGATATATTCGACTAGTAATCCCAAAAAGGAAACGGGAATGCCAAAGTTCACTAACTGTCACTAACTGAACCAGGCATGTCCATAGCACAATGCTTGAACACACTCGAATGAACCAAACCCGCAAACGGCTCCTCGGAATCACTGAACCCTGAAGCTTGTCGCATCTCACCTGAATACCCTTCATCTCTCTGCCACACCCCTCATTGCCACGTCATCGCCATAACCTTCATACACAATTCCATAGCAACAACATCATAAAATAATTTTAAAAAAGAAGATACTCATTCATAAACAGTGAATTGAAATATTAGTAACCCATGAAATTGAAGACCTACCTCGGACACAACAACACTGCTAGGAAGTGAATCGCACTATTTGAAGCTTTTGAAGAAATCGAAACCGACCCAGAATTTAATTAGAAAGGGATGATTGAGGGGGATACTCAAAATAAGATCTTTCTGCCCCCAGTTGGTTGCTTCTACAGATTTTGAAGCTCTTCTTCAAGAATCAGAGACAAAGAAAGTGAGAAAAGGAAAAAAGGAAGTGATTGTTGTGGCAAAGGAAGAGAGGAAGAACAAGAGAGCGCAAAGATCGAAAGGAGGTGATCAAATCGGAACAACCGAACACAGATGATTCATGCATTTCTATTCCCTTTCCAGGAAAACGAAAATTTTCTTTCCGGTTTTCTCTTTCTCTCCACTCTTTGTTATCTATTTCTAGAAAAATGTTCTCTCTCTCTCGCTGTCTCTCCGTGATCAAAGTATGCATGAATTGAAGTAGTGGTAGATCAGTTGGGAGATTCAGGTTAACTGGAAAGAAAATGTATTTTCACCCTTTATTCAAAGTTTTAAAACTTTACAAAAAGAATAATAAAATTAATATAAAAATTAAGGATTTAAGCTCTAAAATAAAATAAGTAAAAGTCTATTTATAATTAATTTAAATATTTTATAATATAATTAACTTTGAATTAACAAAAGATAACTTTATATTTTACTTTAAATTTGAAATTTAAAAAAAAGAAATGAAAGATGACAATGACATATGTGATGATTTTTTTACTATTCTAACGTAATAATTTCTATCAATTAATTGATGTGTTCGGTTATATATTTAATAGATATCAAACAGTTAAAATTAAAAAATATTATAAATATATTTTTAATTTCTTAATTATATGTTAAAAAATACTAATTAATAAAATTTAGATATAAAAAATTGCCATGCAAAGATTTGTAATAGAATTAAATTTTAAAAAAAGTGACTTTAAATTAACTTGAATTATGTTTGAATTGAAGTTGCTTAAAAAGTTATTTTTAACGATTACTCAAAATTGATTTTAATTATCAACATCAATATTATGTTACCTAGTTTAGTAACAAGCAATGCATATATATATATATATATATATATATATATATATATATATATATATATATAATTTAATAACAAAAATATATAATTTAATACTTAAAAAATAAAATTATATTTTTTATAAATAATTATATATGTAATGAAATTATTAAAAATAATAATTATAAAAAAAATTTTAACTTAACTTTATAATTATGAATTATATATATTAAATAATAAAAAAATAATAAAATTAAATAATTTTAAAATTATTTTAAAATAGTATTTTTTTAGTATAATGTAAAAAAAATTAAAATTAAATGTCAACAGTTAATATAAAAGTAAGTTCTGAATTAAAAAAATAAAGATAATTTTTATAAATATAAAAATATGTATTCATAATAAATATAAAAATCTATACAAAATTATTAAAAATTTTAAGTAATAATTTAATCTCCAAAATTTAGAATAAAATTAATAAAGCTGTGAATAAAAAAAACATTTTAACCAAAGATAATGTAATTTACAAATTTTTTTAAGTTAATTTTAATCTATATATATATATATATATGATTGAAAGAAAATAGCTTTACTAATGCTTCTCTTCTTAAATAGTTAACTATCATTTAAAATTAAAAATTAATTTATTCAAATACAAAGCATCTAAATTTTAAAAAAAAGTACAAATAAGAAAGTAAAATTAATAGTGAAATACAAATTTCACATATAACAACTATACTACTTATTTATCTTATGTTATATAATTTGATTTCAAATTGTATCTCAATCATAATTCATCTTAAGTGAAAAAATAATATAAAAAATTTGATATTGGTCCATACTAGCCAAATTGTGATAATTTTCATAATTTATGTCAAGGATTACATTTTCATTTTTACATCTACTAAAATAAACATCTCTACTTTAACATTTAAAAAAAATATTATTTATTGTCATTGTAGCACAAAATTATTTGAACTTGTGTTTCAATTTTGAACTTAAGCATAGTATGAAAAAGTGGCCTAATTGATAAAAATTAAAGACTTCATTATAATTTAAAAATCTAGATTTATGCCTAAAATAAAAAGGGTGGCAGCATTCACATATAGAGACCAAGGTACCTCACAAGTATTGAATACTCAACATTCACCAAATTATATCTACTGAATCAAAAAGTTTAAAAAATATAAACTATAAAGACTAAACAAAGAAACATACATAAAAGATAATATAAAAACTTCATACTAACATTTGTTATATATTAACATTTGTGAGAGCATGGTAAAAACATGAGCATAATAAGTAATATCTTTCCAATAAATTCTACTTGTTCATTAGCATAATAAGTAGTATCTTTCCAATAAATTCTACTTGTTCATTAGGAGTAAGCACACATGGAATGTGCATATCCTCAATTGTTTCTATAGCATTCTTAAAATATGGCTAATATTATTGGTTATTTTTAATTCTTGTATATTAAGAATTTTTGTCTTAATATGTTTAAAAGATAACTTAAGAAATACAATTATTACGTTATAGAGATGTCTACTCACAATGTCTCTTTAAGGTTGAAATCTTTCTTTAATCATTCTATTACTTATTCCATGGCTAACCATGTTTAAGAACATTGCAACTATTTCTTCAACTCTCATGTGACTAGTAGGATTTAAGCCATGCTCAAATAACTCAGTACAAAGTTTAAAGAAAATGTTTTTTTATGTAGAACATTCCATTGCAATGAATGAGATGTTCTTGCAAAACTTTTTATACCCATACACAACTTGTTTGTTCATAATTTTACATGGCTCTTAATATAATTAACTAATTGCATAGTCATTGATGTATGCTCTTACATAAGGTGCTTGTTCCATAAATTCATCTTCATAGATATCGATTTTAAATTGTGCATTCCAATCATTCATGTTATTCCTTTACTGAGGTAAAAAAAAAGCAATTATATAATGTATATACATGGTACTTTATATATACACACAAATTCAACTATTGCAAGTATGTTTTATGGTCATGAAAAATTTTGAAACTTTCAATCAATTACTAATTAGTTGTGAATAAGGTATTAAATTTCCTATCAATAAGGTATCGATTAATTGTGACTCAAATATATATGTTATTCCTAAATAGATATGCATAATAGAAATTTATATTAGTAAAATATTTATTAGTGTACTAATACTTGTATTCTATGCAAAACATAATCTTATGTGTAAAACATTATCTTATGCAAAACATAATCTTATATGCAAAACAAGATTAGTTTTAAGTAGAACAAAAAAAATCTTATATGAGCAAAATATATAAGCACGCTTAGATGAAACATTCAATTGTTTTAAAGTCTCAAAAAGTATTTTCATAACGCATTTGTCGCAATTGGGAGTCACAACAATATGATGAAAACGTTTTAAGAAAAACATTCTTTAGAAAAAAAAATATTTTTCTAAAAGTCAGAAAAGTTGCTACTAAAGTTTATTATAGAAAAAATTTATAAAAACTTTTAAAATGTACCTTTGAAACAAAAAATGAGTTCAGAAGTCGTTAGGTATTAGCATCTTATAACATTAGTCTAAATAATAGTTGCTTTAAATTAATTGTGCAAATTTATTATAATTTTAGTTGCTATCTTTATTTTTAAAAGAAGAAAATTTATTTATTAAAATGTTAATTGGTATCTTAGGAAAGAGAAAAATTATTTTAAAAATTATTTTGACTTGACAAGTTCGATTTCTGCTTCTACCTAAAGGTGCAATAAAGAACTTAAAGCTACATAGTTCTATTAAAATATTACAAAATTGGTTGATTAAATTAAGTTTAGTAGAAGGAAGTTTATTTTAAGATAAAATCATTTTCATAATATTATAATACTTAGGATACAAGATAACATGGTTATACATATATCGTACGAGAAACAATTCAAAAGATAAATAAAAATCACAGAACTATATTGTAAATCATCGCAAAAAAAGTATAGTAGTTAAGACGATGTATTTAAATTAATAAAAAATTAAATATGTATTTTAATTTTAAATTTATATTAAAGAAATTTAAGACAGCATAAACATAAACTATATATAAATCTCTTATAACTTTTTCGTCAATAAAAAGTAATGTAAATCACACATCGCAAAATATTGTATAATAAAATGAAAAAAAAATAGTAATTAAATGTTTAGTTATTTAATTTATCAAAATTTGATACATGACAAAAAAAAATTTAAAACAAAATTATTTGTATTTAGTAAAAGGTGAATTGTTTAAACAGAAAAATATATCTAAATTACTTAGTAAAGGTAACTATTTAATAAAATAGTTATAATAAAACTTAATTTTAAAATAAAAATTGATTGCATGAAAGTTAAGATAACGATAATACACATGTGTTTTGACAATTTATAATGCATAAAGGTAGAGTTGCTACACATTAGCGTTATAAAATATTGTGTTAATAAAAAGAAATTGATTTAATTTAACTGATTGATTAATTTGATAACTAAAAGAAAATTAATGAAACATGTTTTGATTAATTTTTAAAATAATTACTTAGTTAATCAAAATTAGAATATAATAATTGATATTGTATGAAAATTAGGGTAACATAAGTACATATAAACCTTTTCAACCTATAACACATAACAGTAAAGAAACTACATGTTAGTATTATAAACTGACGCAAATAGTTTATATTTATTTATTTGTTATTGTTTTAAAAATATATATTTATTAATCATGGAATTAAAAACAAATACTAACCTAAATCATATTATATCCACCTTGTAAAAAAATAAAAAAAATAAAACAATAATAGAAATAACAATACTAATAAACAACAAGATAAATGAATAATAAAATGAAACTAGTAAAATTTCACATAAATTATAATAGGACTTTTGTTGTCATCTTATCCATACTATATTATCATTTGTATTTGCAAAGAATAAAGTTCATAATCTTAAATAAAAGATTAAAAATTGTTAACTAGATAAAACATAGGAAAGTAATAAGAATATTAAAATTAATGCAAGAATGGCATTTTAGTGATAAATTATGTTGCAAATATTATAGGCAATAGAAAGAACAAGTACTGCTCTACTACGTAACAAGTTGAGGTGAATAACAATTTTATTTTTAATAAAATCATCTCTAGTAGCTAAAGCGTTAAATTAAAGAAAAGATATGGATGATAATGGAGGGAACTTGGATTTATTACCTACTAAAACCAAAGTAGCAATTGACCACTAATTGTTAGTTTGAGCAAATAACAAAAGTGGAAATAAACATTGCAAAATGGTATATTAAGAAGGTCTTGGTTCAGTCAATATTTGCTAAGGTGGTCATGTAATGTCCCAAATTTTGTAATATTAATTATTGATAATTATATAAATATAAATGTATATTCATGTGTGTATTTTTTTTTAGATATATGTTGTGAATATGTATGT